ACTGACAAGCCTCCTGAGCTTTTCAAAGTCGGCTTTTCTGAAGTCAAGGACTTCCGTGTTGCTGACTGACTTGCCAGCATTATGGCGGATGGTGATGGTGAAGGTGATCAGCTTGTGGTTGCTGTCACCCAGCTTCCCATCAATCACTAGGCTGCTGATTAGGTCATCCCCAGTCACCAGTACCAGGTCGAGCAGCGCTTTACCTCTCATTGGCCAGTAGACTTCTTGAGTCAGGTAGAGGTCATCCACGCATGATAGGAAGCTTTGCAACTGCTTGGATTTTGCTGATTGATCCTCTCATGAGATGTCCATGTAGTTGAAGTCACCTATGACAACCATGGCCCTGGAGCATGAGGCCTCAGCCAGTTCCTGGGCAAACTCCTGGTCAAGCTCTTGACTTTGGGTGGGAGGTCTGTAGTAGACTCCCACTGTTGTGTCCCCTGTGCTGTGTTCCCTACAGATTTTAACCCAGAGGGTCTCCAGTCGTCCACCCTGGTTGCCAACATCAGCTTGCAGGGCTGCATAGCTTTCCTTAACATAGAGAGCTACACCCCCACCCCTTTTATCTACTCAGTCTCTCCTGTATAAGGTATAGCCGTCTATACCTGTGGGCCAGTAATGAGTGGAGTCCCACCAGGTCTGCGTTATCCCTATGACATTATAGTTATTTGTGTTAAGCAGGAGGACGAGTTCCTCCTGCTTATTCCCCAAGCTCCTGGCATTTGTGTACAGGCAGGCAGGTGTCCCCTTGGGGGCTCTTGCCTTGCCCACAAAATGCTCTGGTCTGATAAGAGAGCTCTCCCAAAATGGCCATTCTCTGAAACAGACACTCTCAGTAGTGACCTGGCAGCTCCCTACTACAGCCCTTAAAATGACAGACACCCTAAAGGGTGTTGTGTCACAACTTCCGTCTTTTTTTGTAACTTCTTTTTATTTTATCCTTCAGTGGCTGACTTCCTTCATTTCACCACCCTACCCCCGCCCTTATTTCCTGTCCACTTCCCATTTCATTATCCACCCCCATCCCATTTACTGTCCGCTCTCCAGATTCCTGTTACTGCTCCCCCTCCACCACCCATCTCTCACCCTTCCCAACCGAGCGCAGTGATAGAAGCCTGCCCTGGCTCACCAGCCCTCTAGTGGCAACTCACAACCGTAGCTCTTTTTCAGGACCCTTCTTACCAGCCCTCTAGTGACAAGTCACAGTTGTATAGGTGGGGGGGGGGGGGCGGTCCAAGAAGGTTTTTAGCCTTAAGGTGCAACTGCTCCAAACTTGAGCCCTAATACCAATAAGCATTTGAGAAGCCGAAAGTGCAGCCATGTAACAAGGCCCTTAGTCAGGTCAGGTCATTTGGGTCATATTTCATTTTTCATAATTCTTTTTCTCTTCTTTAGTTATTTATTCTTGTTGATGTTTCATTTAAGAATAAAAATACTAAGACCCAAAATAAAATTCTGTTCTCATTGGAATCAATGGCAGAACTCCTATACATTTTGAAGAGACCCAACATTTATTTATTTGTTTATTTGTTTGTTTTTGTCCTGCATGCTTTTTCAGTATTTTTTTAAACATTGCTATAATGCATTCAAGTTTCAGATGAAGCTTATTGAGATAAATAAAGAAGCTCCCACTGACTTCAGTCACTTTTGGTTGGGGCCCTCCACTGCTAACTAATCTTCTGAAGATGTTCTTGTCCATTCACTTTGCCTACTGCTGTGATGAGATAACTGACATTTCACTATTTTCTTTGTATAATGTATTTATAATTGTGATTTTATATACATATATTGTGGAATTTATTGGTATATTTTTACATTATTTTTTCTGGCGTATAAGTATTTGAACAACAGGTTTGCATTTAAATATGTTACAGTAGTTCACATGTAGGGTACAATGAAGTTCCTGAAGTTCTTATATCTATATGATATAGATATTACCAGAGACAGATTTGTGTATACCACAACTCAGTTTAATTTATAGAAATTTTTAGATACTGGAATTTTCAGAATATGGAAACTCCATAAATGATAACATCCACGGGTACATGGGATAGAGTTTTTCATAGCAGGCATTATTAAAATGATTGCATATTTTTGCTTAAGGAAAAAACATTTAGAAATTCAGAGCTGATAGTAATGTAGATTTTTTTTCTTTTAAGATCTTGGGCCCTTTAAATGAAAATGAATTCTTTACAGAAGATTTCCAGTTGTTGGAAAAAATAACATTTAGTACCTCAGGAGAGAAGATTAAAGCCATTGTCAAGGAGATGAAGATCAGCAATAAGCGGTAAAGCAGTTGGGGCCTTTGGGTATTTATTGTCCACATGGACGAGACTGATTTGAGTTTATCATCTCTAATTTGTTATTTCACTTTCTGGTAGACTATATGTAGGTCTGTCTTCTTTGAGTACTTGTCTGCTGTTAGTAAACATATTCTCCATGAATTTGCTTTGTATTCTTTTGGACAGTAGTATATTTTGAGGCCACACCTAGGGCATGAATTCCTCTAGATTTCCACATAAAGGAACACAGGATAGGGTGACCTCAGTTGTCCCTTTGAGCTGGAAGTTAGGTCATATCCAAACTTCTCCTTCAGTGTATGATCCTCTTTTCTTATATAAATATTATTAGTTACATTAGTGCAAGTTTCAAATTGTTCTCATAGGCACCTTCAGTTAGACTTTGTAATCCCTAAAACAGGGTGTTTTGCGCTAGGAGCGTGATCCAGATGGACACAATTACGTAGAATCCCTGTACAGTGAATGGGGAGAACTGGTTGCCTCCAGCAGTTGATCAGCCAGGATGCCACAGCATTTTGGGGTGCCTTAAAATACTTTTAAGAGTGCCACAGGATGTTGTGCAATGTTAGCAACATGGGGTGCTTGCAGACATTAAAAACCCCCCCACAAAATGATTCTTTAAACTCCACATGCTCCTGCACCAAGCCCAGCACATGCCCAGAAGAGGCACTGCGTTAGTTGGATCCAGCTTGCCAAACATCTGTATGAATGCGGTACTTTAGTGGGGATTTTTTGGTGTTTTTATCTAATAGCTGATTGAATCAGCTATTAGATAATAGCACTAAAAAACCCTGCTGAAGTACTCAATCTATACAGATGCTGTGGAGCCAGGTTGAAGTAATGTGCTGCTTCTTTCAGTAAAGCATATTTTTTCCAACTTTTGCAAGCAGCCATGATTCACAAGATAAACCCAGAGTTTTCAAATAGGAATCCATAGTGTTAAAAACAATAAGACCTGTTGTGATCTTTCTAAGTACTTTACAACAGGAAAATGTCTCTATTAGTTTTCTATAGTCAAAACATGAATGACAGTTAGAAGCTTACATTTTCTAAGGGGTACCTTATGTTTAAAAAAGTTGATCTAGAGCCCAAGATACCAGGAAGTAACCAGTAGGAAATAGCAGGCACAGGGTTATGTCTGAATTCCTGACCCTTTTCAGGAATCACTCCTGAACTTTGTTTTGACTGACTCCTGGACTTGAAGTACCTCAGTTGCTTCAAGATCCAGAGACATATGCAAAAGATGCATCAAAGCTGAACTGACACCCTTGAGTTCGATGTCATAGCTGCTCTGAGTTGAATACACAGCTTAGATTGTAGCAGTGGTTGTATACACCTTTTTGCACAACAGTGGCTTAGAGCACTTGATCAGGTTGTTGAAGATCTAGGCTATAGACACTCTTCAGCCTGAGGAAACTGAAACCCTATCTCCCATTTCTGAAGAGAGTGCCCTAATAGCTATTTTATAGAATAGACAAACTATGATTTTGTAGTCCAATGTAATGGTTATCTCTTCAGAGATTCTGGTCCCTGTTGTCAGCCAAGTTTAGTTTTGTTTTTTAAGTCAGTATATGGCTACAGAGTTGTGCTAAGTCAGTATATGTCTACAGAGTTGTGCTCATTCTTGCTTCTTCTGGCACCAGGAAACTTTCACTGTTGGCTCCCTCCTGGCCCAGTTCAATAGGATAAGTGAAGGCTATTTCCAGACAGGTTATTCTCTAAAATGGTTGGTTGAGCCTTTTGTTGACAAGTGGGAGTTGTCCATTTCGTCTTGCACAGAGCTCTCTCCATTCCTGAGTTTAGTGCTTCTAATCATTAGGTTATTTGGCAAAAGATGATTCCCACCATCCATACCACCACTATCCATGTTCTCAACTTAAAGTGTCCATGCAGGCTCTCTGGGTTTCATACATTAAGCGGATTTTAGGTTACTCCCAACCATAATCTGGATCACAATAGAATTTTGACAGAAATCAGGCAAGTATGTACTCAAATGGGATTGCTTCTAAATGTTCAGAAGTTAAAGTGTAGGTGCTTATGGAGCTTTTCAGATCAAAATGAAGGCTGATACTTATTCTAAGTACTTAAATGCTATGTGGCTTAAATCCTAGGGCAGGATTGATCTAGATAGCTTTCTGTGACTTAGGCACCTTCATTCTGTGCAAGTCCCCTTCTGATGTCTAAGCTTATAACCTACTTCTGCACATAAATAAAGACACATGACAGACTTTAGCTTTGCATGCAAAAAATCTGTATATTTATCAACATTTAGATGTGAGCGTGCATATTCTAACTGGAGGCTTGTCATCATTAGTCTTGTAGGCTGACTACAGGCAATCAAAAAGCCCAAGGCTGAATTGTTTCAGTCTTTGTAAGTTAGGCTATTATGATGGATAGTATCACAATGATGTGTTATAATGAGGGATCCTGGTTTTGTCTGATTAAAAAAAAATCCCCAATTTTTGCAGATTTAAAAAAGTAACCAAAATCCACATTTTCCCATGATTAAAATATCTATATCTAGAAATATCTGTTGTCTTATCTTCTTTTTGTTTCTTTTTGCATGGATGCATCTGTGGATGAGCCACTCCAAAATGATCAGACATGAAGTCTCAATCCCCCTAGCCAGTCAATGGCAGTGAATGTTATTTACTACCCCTTGAGGGAAGCAACATTGAAAAAAAAAAGGGCTATCACCACAGGTGTGACTCTAATGATCACTAGCCAAATGGATTCTGCTGTAAATGTGTGTGCTCTGTAGTCAAATGTTTTCTATCCTTCAGTTTTCATGAGCTAGATGGCCTAAGGGGACATGAAGTAGACAGAATATTCTGAAAAGCCAGCCAGTGTCAATCTGAATTTGGGACTGGAAGGCATCTTGTTACAATCTGCCTCTGTCAAAGCAGATTTATTTTTAAACTATGCAATCTGTATAAGTAGAAAATTCAGGAAGCATGCAAAGGAATAAAAATGTGTGTGAATGCTTGCTGGGAGGAGAGACAGAATTAAGTGATAGTGGAATAGGAAGAGAGAAGGCTTTCAGGTTGTGGCAGTGAGAAAAGAATTACAGGGAAGGAAATAAATTGAGGTAGATAGTAGAGAATGGGCTGGGATTAGAAGTTGAAGTCCCTGGGATGTGTAAACTGCAGGGTGAGTTGGGGAGGGGGAGGTTAGTGATACAAAGGTCACCCTCACATTCTGCTTCCTCTCTAGGATTGTTTAAGATCCTATATGTGTACTGGGGTATTGGTATTAGTCATGATTGAAACCTTTTCCCCACCCGCTTTGTGTGAGCCTGGGTTTTCAGGGCTCATTCTTTGGGAATATTTCAGCCTTTTTTTCCTTAATAAATGTTTTAGGAGCTGTGAGGGGAGAACAGGGCTTGACCCTGGGAGTGTATTTGAGCCCTCTGTCTGCTCCTTATATTTGATCCAGAAAGTGGTTCCCACCAACCCTCTGGATGTCTTAGCCCTTCTCCATTCTCCTCTGTATGGAAATTGGGATCAAGGCTTAGGCCTTTCCACTCAAGGGGACTGACTGTATCGTCCTGTTATTTGTACGTGTGCATGGATCTGACAAAGCTTTTCTTCCTCTAATGGTGTCTGATCCCGTACTCCCCTATATTAGTATGTCATAATTGAAGAAATACTGTCATTCTGAGGGGGGTCAGAGCTTCTTTGGCCATTTTTGTGACCTGACAGTTGTGGAAGCTCTGGCTTGTTGAGGTCCTCTCATCCTCCCTCCTTGTCTCATGTGAATCACCATTGGAAGAGTCCTTGCCACCCTGGAAGGGATGAATGCTGAAACACTTTATCTGCCCCCATATGAGCCAACCCTACTTTGTGCAAAGATCTGAGAACAGAGACAAGTACACAGTACTGAGATTGGTTCGAGGAACTGTTTGATCCATAATAGAGCCTTTCAGGAACACCAGGTAAACTAATAAGGAGAGAGATGCAAAGTCCTTTGGAATGAATGGAGCAGTGTCCGTACCTTCACAGCTATTGCTTTGTCACTCTTCATTTTCATAGGTTGTCCTATTCAGTGGAGACCATCCTATTGAAATAAATGGGCCATTATAAAATACTCCGAGAACTCCTTTCTGCTTAAAAGTAGTCCCTTCTAAGCTTTCTAAAATCCATGTTCACCTTGGGCATGTGTATGTCAAGGCAGTGTACACAGTTAGTGCCTGAAAATACAGTTAGAGAAGCAAAGGAGAAGCAAATACACACAACTTTAACTACTTTATTTGAATGATGCTCTAATACTCTTTAACGCACATATTGTCTTTGAACAGTACTGAACAAAAGGTAAGGTTACACTGGTGGGTACCTTTGCTCTTTACTTCTAATTTTACTCTTTTCTGATTATTCTTAATTTTCTAGTTTTCAGAGGTTAGGTTTTTGCTGAACTTGATGTCAGAACAATCATAATGAAGATTTTTTTTAATTGAATCAGGACAGAGATCATTTACTTTTCTTCAGAGATATATCAGATAGTGTTTGTCTACTTGATTTTCCAAAAGAAGTTCACTTACAATAGGTGCCAATGTAATATATTTTTCTACAAACTTTAAAAAATTCATCCTCTAAGGGGCACAGTTAATGAGGGCATGTTTCTACAGAGTCTTTTCTTACTTACTTTAGACAATACATCTTACGCAACAAATGAAGTAAAGGCTCCAAATAAAATTATTAATAATGAGACAGTGAACTTTAAGTTTGAAAGCTCTGTTCATCCAGGGAATCTGGATGGTGAAATTTTGTTGATAAACTAAAAGTCAATGTCTTTAAGGGGGCTGCATCTGCCTTTGGGAAAGCCTCAAAAAAATCATCTATGTCACTACTGACTATATTCAGCAAGCAGGTCAGAAGAAACCCAGATTAGTCTGAGGCATACTCACATGAATTGAGTCCATCTGTCAAGGCCGAAGAAACTGCAAAGTTAAATCACAAAAAGAATGCATGAGATGCAACATTGAAGGAAC